ATATACACATACACATGCATAGGTATCTTGCTGTGGTGCTGTGGTGAATGTGCTGGACTGCAAAGCCAGTTTGAACTGCAAGGTCGGCGGTTCAAGTTCACCTCCTCGGAGAGCCTATACAGGGTCACTATGGGTTAGAAAAAACTCGACAACACTTAACAACAACAACAACAACATACATACATACGTATTACTCCTGGTGTGGCACTAGACTGCTAACTGCAAGCTCAACAGTTAAACCTAGCAGCCACTCCTGAGAAACCCTATGAAGTTCACTACAAGTTGGAACCAAATGGATAGCACTAACAGTAGCAGCACATATCTGAGTGTGTAGACACGTCCCAATACGCAATGACTGAGACCACTCAAGGACTACCTCAAAATGGAGGAGGATGTGCTCAGTCATTCTAGGTTGGAACTCAGATTACATTTTCCTCCAGAACACTATTATAAATGTGGATTAAAGTCTCCAGTACCACAAATCTACAACAGACACACAAAGAGACAGGAAAACAGCTTTAGGGGTTTGACCTGGAAATCTAAATGCTATTTGTTATTTTATTCCTATAGGTACATTGTTCAACATTACAAACATTATATTGGAAAAAATGAAGTTTTGATATACAATGGATTCTTAAGTAAGGTTTTTCTTTAAGAGTATTTATTCCTCACAAAAATGCTTAATATGAAAATCACCAAGGAGAGAAACAATTTTGCCTTGTTAACATGTAAGCACAATGACACCAGAAGACACCTGTGGGAAATGTGCTTATCTATCCAGTTGCTCATTTTCCATGTGCTGTCATTTGAATAAAACATCATGCTAAACCCTACAGACCAGAGCTTACGACAGAAATGGCACAAACTACAGCAGTACAGCTGATATGCCTATAATCTACTGACAACATGTACTCCCTAGCAAAGTGAAGCCAGATGTCTGGTGTGAAATCAGATGTCTGCAGGCTTGTCTTTCTCCACTTCCAGAGCAGTACTAGATACACTAAATACACAGCTTAGCTGTATATTAAACCCACAACTTGGCAAAAGCATGACAGTTTGGACATGAAGCATCAGCATTTTTATTGTAATTCTTATAAACCAAAGACATTTCTGAAATTGAAATCCTAAGTTTAAGCACTCGACCAAATGCAGTAGTATGTCTTTCTCACTTTGGGAACGTCAGAGCCTTTTAACACACAGAAACTTTTCGTTTTTCAAACTGACTCAATTGAGGCAGGACTGTGGTAATATCTGATGTACTATAATGATAAGATCTAGGACCTGTAGTAGGTTTTCCCTATGAAAATGCAAATACCCAGAAGGCCTAGAATCTAATAAAGAGTACCAGATTGCTTTCCACAATCAAAAAGTAGGTAAGAGACTAGTGGATGTCCACATAGAGAAACAGAAAGGGAAATGAACATTGGGTATCTCAGGCCCTGTGTTGTTCACACAGTGTTTACTGTATACTCATTGTTCTGTTTTGACAGATGAAAAATGGAGGAGCAGAGAAATTTTAACAAGGCCAAAGTGATACAGCTAATAAAACAAAAGCCAGAACTCAAAATCATGTCTCTAAACTATACATTTCATGCTACTTTTACAGGAAGATTGGGGTGAGGCATAGAGGGGCCAAGACTATTGAAGTAAAAGGCAGAAATTTACAATTTTACCAAATAGTGTTTGTATATATATGTATGTGTATGTAACACAAAATAAAATAAACATCAAATTGTTGGGAGATTTTCACTTTCTTATATCCCTATAATATTTTATTTTATATTGCTTTTTTGACATTATTAAAATGTTGTACACAAAACTATTTTTTGGTTTGATTAAAAGAAAAACAAAACACCATTATACATACAGAAACCCATGCAGCTATTTTGCCTTGATTACTTTAGTAATGATGCTCGTAAGTCCATCCTTAACAGTCTCTATAGTTTCTGATACAAGCTCCTTCTTCAGGTCTACGGAACAATTCAAGAAGTTGCCGTTGTTGTGAAGTGCCGTCCAGTCTGATTCTGACCCATAGCAACCTTGTAAAGTTTCCAAAGAGCAGCTGGTGAACCTGAACAGCAGGCCTCCCAGGCCCAAGTGGACTTTGCAATCCAGCGCATTAACCAACAGCACCACCCCAGGAGTCCTAATTATTACTTACCATATCAAAAAATAAGGAGCGTTGTTGTTGCTAAGTGCCGTCAAGTCAGTTCCGACCCATAGCGATCCTGTATAGGGTTTCCGAGGAGCAGCTGGTGAGCTTGAACCACCAACCTTGCAGTTCAAACAGCTTTGCAGTCTAGCGCATTAGCCAACAGCACCACACCAGGGTAGCGTAGTGGTTACAAATCAGGCTGCTAATCTCACAGTCAGCAGTTCAAAACTACCAGCTGTTCCAAGGGAGAAAGCTAAGGCTTTCTGTTCCTATAAAGATTTGCAGTCTTGGAAACTCTATACAGGGTCACTGTGAGTCGGAACTGACTCCACAGCACATAACCACCACATCAAAAATAAGGGGCCCTGGTTTCATAATGGGTTATGAGCTGGACTGCTAACCGAAAGATTAGCAATTCAAATCTGCCAGTCAATAGGCGGGAGAAAGACGAGGCTTTCTACTCCTATAAAGATTTTTGTTGTTTTTAAGTGTCAGCCAGTAGGTTCCGACTCATAGCGACCGTGTACAGGGTTTCCAAGGAGCAGCTGCTAGGTTTGAACAACTAACCTTGTGATTCACAGTCCAGTGCTGATCCTACAGCGCCACACGAGTCCCCCATAAAGATTTCCAGTTTGGGTAACCCTATACAACATTGCTACGAGTTGGAACCAATTCAGTGACACACAACTACCACCACCAATGGCGTCCTAGAACCCTGGTGTGGTGCTGTAGGGTAAGCACTTAACTGCTAACAACAAGGTCAGCAGTTCGAACCCACCAGCTTCTCCTTGGAAACCCTATATTCCACAGCACTTATCAAAAATGGAATCCAGGTGTGACACTGCAGGATAAGCACTGTTAGGATAAACACTAACCACAAAGTCAGTGGTTCAAACTCACCAGCCCCCCTGGAAGCATTACAAAGGGTCACTATGAGTCAGAACTGACTTTGCAGCACTTTAAGAACAGTATTTACTGACACAGTTGACATATTTTCTCCCCAGAGAGGAGCTAGTGGGTTTGGGGTTAACAACCTCATGCTTAACCACTGCTCCTTTCTTGAATAAGAGAAATATTCCGAAATCCACAGAAATCGGTAGAAAGACCTTTCCCAAGATGGCCATGTTCTACCTAGTCTATCATTCTCACCATCCTCCTAACATCCAAGTACTCAATACTTTGTAGGAAAGAGAGTATCAGTGTCTACTGAATCAGTGAATGAATTCAACATCAACAAACTGCTTCCTGAATTTTCCTAAAGCAAATTAAGTGGTATCGTGACACTTGAGCACAAATGAATAATAAGCAGTAAGGTTCAAGACACAGAAGCCAATATAAGAAGCCCTAATGGCATAGGAGCTCTGGTAGCGTAGTGGTTACGAATCGGGCTGCGAACCTTAAGGTCAGCAGTTCGAAACTACCAGCTGCTCCGCGGGAGAAAGATGAGGCTTTCTGCTCCCGTAAAGATTTACACCCTTGGAAACCCTGTACAGGGTCGCTGTGGGTTGGAACCAACTCGACGGCACTTAACAACAACACAACAATGGCATAGTGGGTCATATTTTGTGTTTGGGCTACCAACCGCAGGGTCAGTGGTCCAAACCACCAAGCGCCCCACAGGAGAAAGAGGAGACTTACTTACTGCTCCTCTAAAGATTTAGAGACATCCTGATATGGCGCTGCAGGATAAGCAGTGGACTGTTAACCAAAGGATAGGCGGCTGAAACTTACCAGCCACTCCTCGGAAACCCTATTCAGGGTCTCTATGAGTGGAAGCCGATTCAACAGCACTTAACAACAACAAAGATTTAAAGCCCTGATAACTCTATACAAGATAGATATGATTCTGAACTGACTCAACAGCATGCTACAAGGTCAATATAAAGATGGTCGGTCACAAGGAGCAACGCTGCTCCTCCTATGTCAGAATCCAAGAATGTGCTTTACCACATTCTTGCTTTGAGCTAACCTGAATTTCAACTAACTGAAAACATTTGTCTGTTATGTAAAATACAAGATTGATACATCAGAGTTTCTCAAACTTCAGTATTTTGTTTCCCCAGTATGGTGGCTGGGGAAGGGTGTGTGTTTGGATAAGTAGATGAAGACCACATAGAAAATCACAGTAAACCTTCAAAGACTCCAATGTACTATCTGGTAACTTTTCAAAAGTGATTAAAGGCGTTGGGAGGAGATACCAAAGTCAATGGCAACAGAGAAGGGTAATTCTTCTTCCCCATTCCCACCCTTCCTTTATAAACTGGAGAGACTATTCCAGAACATCATTTGTGATACTGCCATTAACTTTCCACTTTGAGAGCCTAAACGATTTTTACTGGGATCTCCTTTTTAAAGGTAAAGAACCAGGGCCACGAGATTCTTTATTGCTTCCGTCTCAGGGATTAGTCTAAACTAGCTAAGAAAAGCTGATTTGGGGTCAACAACTGGAGGACTCCGCTTCCCAGAAAAAAGAAATGAAGGAAGGGTTAGAACAGCTTTCAGGCAGGACAAGCATATGGCCACGAACTGCCAAACTCCCAGTCAACTCCACAGACTTTTTGTAACCATAACGAACCCTTGGCTTGGGGCTGCCACCCTTGAAACTGGGCCTCAGGTCACTGATAAAAAAATTTTTTTTAAAAAAGGTAGGCTTGACTCCCACGTTCCACAAGGGGCAGTTCTCCATTAGACCTCTTTTTTGAAGATTAACTCCTACTTCTTCCACCCGTAATCATTCCTTACTTACCCTTTCTCCCGCTCTTCCTCGGTGAGAAGGGGTAAGAGATTATTTTGTGCCCTCTCCCAATTTGGCCAAAACCCTAAAAGTAAAAAACGACAGACACGTGCTTTAAAATGCTGCAGTGATAAGGCCTTGAGTACTTCCACTATCTGCCCAACCCTTCCAGGTAGAAAGCAGCCTGGCCCCACAGCGCTCCCTCCAGGCCAGGGCTGGGAGTCAAGCGTGACCTCCTCCCCCACCTTGAGAAAGCAAAAAGAGGGGTTGCTCTGGGGCACCCAATCGGCTGGGAGAGGCGGGTCAGCTCGGGAACGTGCGTCGCTGAGGCCGGACGCCAATTCCTCCCGAGTTCACCCGCCAGAGTTCACCGAGAGTTAAGAGGCAGGAGCAGCCAGGCTCCCGGCTCAGACACACACGCGCACGCACACTAGCCCTCCGCCGCCGCGGAATTCACAGTACTCTCGGCCGAGAAGCTCTCCGCCTCCCATCCACCCCCGCTCCGCCCCGGGCCGCCTCCCCAGAAAGGCGATGTGCACAGAGGGGACCACCAGTTGCCGCCGGCTGCACGTCCGCCCACCCGCAACAGCCTCGCAGCCCCCAACCACCGCCAAGCGCACGCCCTCCGCACCCTCAGCGCCGCTCTGCCGGGGGAAGTCCCAGCGCGGGCCCCACCCACTGCCAGCCGCAAGCCCCGCCCCTACGGAAAACCTACCCCTAGAGCGCCTGCCTGGGTTGGATCCAAATTCTGGACTGGATCTACAACGAAACGGAAATAACATTTATTTATGAATGCATGCATGCTGCAGGCAATTTAGTTGTCAGTTGCTCTAGGCTTAGCACTATAGTAGGCTGAGAGTACAACAAAAAGCATAAAATGTATGTAACTGTGTGCAGCCCTTTTTACAGGTCAGCAAACCTAGACTCAAGCAGGGCTTTTCCACCACAGACCTCACTAGTGACAAAAGAGGGCTTAACTTTCCTCTCTAGTCTGTTCCTATTGCCTGTTTTCTACCAAAGTGCACACAGCAAAAACGATTCACTTTTGCTGATTCTAGTCAAGCCAAAAAGGGATACTCTAGAATAGGTGGTTTACTCTGGAGGAACTAGAATTTCATAGTAATGCGTTTACCCTCAAATGGTACAAATTCTTAAACTGACTTATAACCTGCCAAGAAAGTAGAATCTAGACGCATCCAGTTACATTGTTTCGCCTTTGTCTGCCTCTCATCAATTACTTCTCTTCTTATTTCTGTCTTTATTCTCCTTTTGTATACTGCCAAGTTACTCTGCGCATATTCACGTCACTTAGTATTAATATAAAAATCATTTGCTCTGGCACTCTGCTCAAAATTCATTCTAAAGATTTAAGAACCTACTCAGAAACCTAAACAGCCTGTTGACTGTTGTGGTTGTTGTTGTTAGGTGCCATCGAGTCGGTACCAACTCTCAACGACCCTATGCACAACAGAACGAAAAACTGCCCGATCCTGGGCCAACCTCACTATTGTTGCCACGCTTGAGCCCACTGATGCTGCCACTTGGCCAATCCATCTCGTTGGGGGTCTTCCTTTTTTTCTCTGACTTTCCACATACCAAACATGCTATGCTTTTCCAGCGACTGGTCCCTCCTGACAATATGTCTGAAGTATGAGAGACGAAGTTTGGCCATTCTGGCCTCCAAGGAACACTGGCTGCACTTCAAACAGTACATCTGTTTGTTCTTTTGGCAGCCCATGGCACTTTCAATATTCTCCTCCAACAACATAACACAAAGGCCTCATTTCTTTCCCGGTCTTCCTTATTCACTGTCCAGCTTTCACATGCATATGAGGTGATTGAAAATACCACTACCACGGCTTGCGTCAGACGCACCTTAGTCCTCAAGCTGACATCTAGCCTGCTGACTAGACATAGGAAACTCTCTTAAGAACAGAATCACTCTCCTGTAAGGGAATATGTACACATTTTGTAAATGTTCTCATTTGTCAATAAAATAAACAATTGTTTAAGATAGATTATGTTCTACAGATATTTAATTCCAGGAGCACATTTTCAGAATGTACCAACCAGCTTTATCAAATATCAATCAATAGTTACCTGAAAGTTGGACCCAACCCTGTTTGCATTACGACACATATGAAACAGGTGGACTTACCTGGCCATTAGAGGTTAGCAGTCTGATATGGACTCTGTTAATAAACAGCCAAAACTAGTATGTGTGCATTTTGCTCTAATGCAAAGTAAGTCAACATTTTTTGTTGTGAAGTGCTGTCAAGTAAGTTCTGACTCATAGCAACCTTGTATAGGGTTTCCGAGGAGTGGTTGGTGAGCTTGAACCACTGACCTTACAATTCAAACCAACCTTGCTATCCAGTGCTTATCCTACAGTGCCACACAAGGTATCCAGACTCAATAAGTTCATCAAATGGACTTTAAGGAAACTGAAGTGAAACCTTCAGAAAATCCCATTTTCTTCTAATTCATCAAATTCTAAACTGAATATTTGGCTTTATGTGTTTACATGAAATACAGTGAGTTGGCTCCCTATAATAAAGCAACTCTCTATTTAGCATTTATGTTGAAAAATGAAAAATGGATCTTATATTTCTAACTAAGGCACAACATCAAATTATGGTTAGACAGCATGTCTAATGGAAGAGGCCTGGTGGTTCAGGCCTCGACTACACTGAATAGAAAGTTCCGTGGTGCCCCTCCACCGGGGACTAAGGAACCCAGCCTAGGCAAGTCTCTGGGACAGTTCTACTCTATCCTGTAGCGGCACTGTGAGGCAGAATCGACTCCACAGCAACAGGTTTGGTTTTTTACTTAGCCGTACATACTTAGCTGGTCAGCAAATAAGTAGCACTTAGACTTTCATCCTAGGAACTCTTGACATTCTTAAAAATGATTGAGGACTCCAAGGAGCTTTTGTTTGTGTGGGTTATATGTTTATGGAAACATACACATTTTACCAAATTAGAAATTAAAAGAGAAATAAAAAAATTATTAATCCATTTTTTAAAATGAAACTGTTACATATTAATATTTATGACATAGTTTACAGAACCAACTTGACAGTACTTAATGACAATAACAAAAAGTTTATGGGAAATGAGCACAATTTTTTTTTTTAAAGCTTAGAAAAGAGGAATTATTTTACATTTTTTGTACATCTCTGTACTATTTGACTGAATTTGGATTCTCATATTTGCTGCAGTATTCAGTATCCTGCAGTACAGTGTTTTATCTGAGGTATTACAAACAAACTTCTCCGGCACAGAGATTCATAGTTGAAAAAGAGAAGAGGCCCTTTTGAACCTCTAAATTTAATCTTAGTAATCTCAGGTGTCCTTGTTGTTGTTGTTGTTAGTACCTTGGAGTTAGTTCCAACTCATAGTAAAACCCTACGTAGGGTTTCCAAGGAACGACTGATGAGTTTGAACAGCCAGCCTTGTGCTTATCCTGTAGTACCACACCAGGATCTTTGCTGTTAAGTGGCGTTGAGTGGGGTCCAACTCATAGTGAACCTGTATAGGGTTTCCAAGGAGAGGCGGTTGAGTCTGAACCGCCAACCTTGTGGTTTAGTTCAAACCAACCTTGTTGTCCAGTTCTTATCCTATCCACATTGACCCTTAAAGCCTCTAAAATGGTCTCAATAACACTGAGGTATCCTTAGACTTCAGGCTGAGAATTGCTAACATATATTGTTGTTAATGTACCATCAAGTTCGTTCCAACCCATAGTGACCCTGTATAGGATTTCTGAGGAGGGGTTGGTGAGCTTGAACTGCTGACCTTGATGCTCAAAATAACTTTGCAGTCCAGTGCATTAACCCACAGCGCCACACCAGGACTCCTGCTAATATATGTGGTGGTGATGTGACATGAAGTGAGTTCTGACGCTGTATAGGGTTTGTGAGGCTGCAAATCTTTACAGGAGCAGAAAGCCTCATCTTTCTCCCAGAACAGCTCGTCATTTTTGAACTGCTGACTTTGAGTTTAGCAGGCTGACTCTTAACCTCTGTGCTACCAGAGCTTGTTAGCATTTGTTATTTACATGACTATCATACATTGGGGAGCATGGTGACTCCATATGATAAGCACTGGCCTATGAACTACAAGGTCTGGAATTTGTGCCTGCCTGACTCTCATGGGAAAAAGAGTTGGGAACCTTTTTTATTGCCAAAGGCTATTTGAATATTTATAACATCACTGAATATGTATGTTGCCATGAAATAATTTCCTAGATGTTTTGAATTTCAAGTCCCACCTACAACTGCCTCATGAAACCAAATGATTTTGTCCCAGGTGGGACTTTCTCCACCCTTGCTATGAAGGGTTGGTCTGAGTGGGAACCGAACCAACTCACTGGCAGTTAACAACAACATCACACATGACCACACCTGAGTCTGCTAACACCTGAAATTATAGCCCTAATTCTAAGCTAAAATTCACATTTGACAGCTCATATCAAATCACACAGTTCTAAAAGATTTTTTTAAAACTTATAATGGCAACACTGATGAAATTGATATTCTTATTTGAAAAGATATGAAAACATTTAGGATTACATTTATGTTCCTTATTTCAAACTTTTGGGGAATTTGAATATAAACTGGGCCATCTGGAAGAATGAAACATTGGCATATAGTTATTAGCCCAATTTTATGTATACTTATAGTGAATGGCATGCATCTCCTTTTATATAAATAATTTAAACATGAGCTTAAAATACAAATGAAACAAGCAATAATGATTTTATTTATTACATAAATATGAGGTTCTAAAGTTACTGCCTTGTAATAAAATTATAGATACATAAGCTTTTGTTTAAAAATAAGAAATGTAAATCATGTAGTTGTGGATCTCTAAATACAATTTTGAACTAAAAGAATCCAGGAATGTTTAGAAAAAAGTCAGAATTTATGTCTAGGGCAAAACATATACAGCAACCTACTTGACCTGGCTTCAATGATTGGATGATCAGAGCTCAACCAGAAGAAGAAAGAAGAGGGAAAAAAAGAGTAATCTGATACAAATTAATGAACTTGACCTATACCTATGGAAGCAGTAGCTCAAAAGAGGGAACAAATCCTTACAGCAAGAATCATTCCCACCCCCTCCATACACAGAGTAGGCAGGGGGATGGGCAACTTGGACATTGGCTACCAAAAATGGGGGTGGTCAGTGCTACAAAGGCAAGAAGTGACTGGCTTACAAGGTTTCAAGAGGGAACCTAGAGCCAGGGGGCCTGGAGGAAGGCAGAATCTCCAGTGAGTACTATTCAATCTGTCTAGGCGGAGCTGATGAAATGAAATGCAGATGGGTCTCTTGTAATACAATAGTGAATAATTGTTATCAGGACTGATTGTGAGGGTAGGAAATGTAAAGGTAGATGTTTTATAGCAAGGAAGGGAGTGAATAACTTTCCAGTCTAGGAGTGGAGGTCCCTAGGACCATCAATGGAGAAGAGCCGAGAGTGGGACCCTACCCAGAGAAGCAACTATGCCTGAGATGGAGGCAGAGACGATGACATGGAGTGATGGAGCAGCTGGGGACTTTAGATCCTGAGAGGGAGAGTGACTGTGTGCTGAAGACCAGGGGGCAGGCTTGCAGGGTATACCCTTTGGTTGGTTGATGATGCATGGAGGGGATTGTAACCATGGCAATGATAT